ATCTACATCCTTGAGTGCCATGTGTTTTGACAAAAAGATAACTTGCTACATTTCCAAGATGAGGGACTAGTTTTGCTCTAATGGATAACTAGAAGCCACATTAATTTTTTGGTGTAATAATTGCTAACATTTATTGAATGCCATCACTGTTTTAAGCACTTGCATGTATTAATTTATTCACAGTAACAATCCTATAGAATAGGTGCAGCAAATATTTGATTTAATCATTGCCCAGCCAGAAATACAGAAACCATTGCAGGTACTTCAAACAGGGTATTTAATACAGAATTTGGATACAAAAGTATTGGAAGGACTAGAAAAATGAATGAGAAGATGATAAAACTGCAGGAGGCTCCTTCCCTAAAATTGGAAGAGAAAAGTGGAAAAGGGTGTTACCTAGAATGGTTAACTGTGGGCTTGTCTTTGAGGCTGGGGGCTTTTTTCTGCTGCTTAGCAGAAATCTTGGAACTCACAGGCCTGCGGCTGCTGCTGAAACCACTAATCCTGCCAGAGCCCTCAGCTGCCAGCAGCTGCCACAGCCACCCCTGCATCCCCACTTTAAGAGCCCGCCAGAGTTTTCTGCCTCTGCAGAAACCAAAAGCTAAATGACTTCCCTTTCAGTCTCTCTCTCTCTCTCTCTCTCCCCCCTCCCAATCTCCCTCCCTCCCTCCCTCTCTCTCTTATGTGTAATAGTTTTAATGTTTATCCTCTTCTATAGTTTTTGTTCTTTTATTTTCAAAATAAATTTGCAATCTTTGTGCACGAACTAAGTTCCAGCATCAAAGGCAATGATTCCCCTTTCCCTTCACTCTCCCAAAGCACATGACCATGCCCCTCTGGCAGAGCCTTTTCAGATCCCGCTGGAGAGAAGCCCTAGGAAATGTAGCACCCAGGCTTCCAGTACAGAAACAGTATGAAAAGACGGGACTGGACTTGGGTATCAATAGATAATATTAGTACAATCCTCGTTTTGCAGGTGAGGAAATAAAAACACAGAGTTTGAATAACTTCTGTACATCATACAGCTAGCAAGTGGCAGAGCTGGGCTTCTAACTCAGGCCCCCTACTCACCTCTCATTATTCCTCAGTGTGTCCTGTTTACTCCAATGAAACTACTTCACTGTGACTTTCAGTTACGTTTGGGCTCACCTCCACCTTAACATGCACTCGTGTTTTCCCTTGCTTGAAATGCACTTTCAGCTTCTCTCCCCTGATCAAATGGGAGAATTATAGATTGTTAAAAGAAACCTTGAAGTATTTAATTGAAAATAAAATCTCTCATTCTTTTACCCTTTATACTTCTATATTATTTTAATTAATCTTTTTTATAGATATACGTTACTCTGATAATTAGATAATAACAGTGGAAATCAATAGATAAAACAATAAAACTCAACTCTTGGCATTTTTCTCAGGTCTTTTCCCCCAAAAATATTTCACAGTGATTTGACTGCAAACAGAGGAACAGATAGTAATTGTTTGGACAATAAGTTGATTAATGTGAATTGAAGCCCTTACCACAGACAAGAATGTTCAAATATTTTTGACCCAAATAAACTTCAGTTCATATGCAAATGTGTAAAAGAACAATATGGGTGAGAATTCTTCATGATATATAGTTTAAGCAAGAATCATTGCTCAAGGTCCCACTTCAGTCTTATGCTTTGTTTCATGATGAAACACAATCTAATTCCCCAGACTTCTGTTCACACCCCAATGCCTACATTACTTTCCCACCCACCTGCCTCTGACTATGCTCCACTTAAACACTCTAAACAGCTTGTCATCTTTTTCTGCCTATAGGATTCCTGTAATTTTTTTAAGGACCTGCTCAGATCTTATTTCTACGGTAGACTCTTAGATTGCCCCAAGCTAAATACGTCCAGATCTATTGTAAAAGTAGACAATTATAATGGTGGGAAATTGTAACCCATCCCACCATTCTTTTGACATTGTTTCTGTAAGTGCTTATTTTGACTAATATGTAGCTTATAGATGAACAGCATGGTTGTAACATGTATAAAAGACCCATAGACAAAGACAACAGGTGCGAGAGGCTAGGGAAGGGATTGAATGTAGGAGGTCAAGGGTGGGTAAGGCAGGAGAAGGTAATGGGGTAAAAATGGGGACAACTATAATTGAACAACAATATAAAAAAGAACCCTAGAAACTAACTTCAAAAGATACCGACTCCGACCTTCAAGCATCCCAGCTCTGGGACCTTCATCCATGGAGCCAGGATAACATAAAGTCAAGAAGACAGGAAGCCAGGATGACTAAACCAGGACCATCGGTTGCCTTATCAGAATAGACTGTGCTTATCTACACACAGAAAATTTTTTAATCCCCTCCCTTTATTTCTTTGTGCTGCTCCCCTTTTTCCTCCTTGTAAAAACCTTGGCCTGCAATGAGATGTGCAGATGAGCTTTGAGACATGAGTGTCTTATTTTCCCAGGAAATGGGCTTTTAGACATGAGACCCCCATTTTCCACGTGGTCAGCACCTGAAAATAAAAAACTTTCTTTTACATCAGCACCTGCTTCTTGCGTATTGGCTTTTGTTTAGCAGGGAGCTGGACCTGCATTTTGGTTATACTGTTATATTCTAGTTTTACTTCTATTTTTATTTATATCATTATAGTCTGAATTGTATTACCGTTTGTGTGTGTGTATGTATGGGTGCATATTTCTACGAAATTGTGAGTCTCAGGAGATAAGGCAATACTTGAGTTTATCTGATTTTGGCATGACACATTTCTTTACACATATTAAGCATTTAAGAGATGTTATTTGAGATTAATTAGGGACTTCCAGCCAAGATGGAGGCATAGGTAGATACACATTGCCTTCTCGCACAACCAAAAGAAGAATAACAACAAATTTAAAAACAAAAAATAACCAGAACTGCCAGAAAATCAAATTTTATGGAAGTCCGACAACCAAGGAATTAAAGAAGAAACACTCATCCAGACTGGTAGGAGGAGTGGGGATGGGCAGCCGGGGCAGAGAGGATGCGCAGCAAGGTGGTGGCTGGAGGACAGGGTGGACGAAATGGCAGCTGGTGTACGGGGTGGTCCCACATTTGGATGCGGATAAACCAGGAGGAACAGCTGGGTAGCGAGGCAGACCAGCAACCCAGAGTTCCAGTGCATGAAAAGAAAGCCTCAAAACCTCTGGCTCTGTGGTGGTTATGGTAGCAGGAGAAACTCCCAGCCTCCCAGGAAAGTTCATTGGAGCGATCCACAGGGTCCTAGAATGTACACAAACCCACCCACCTGGGAATCAGCACTAGAAGGGCTCAATTTGCTTGTGGGTAGTGGGGGAAGTGGCTGAAAGTGGGCCAAGAGCTAAACAAGTAACATTGTTCCCTCTCAGACCCCTCCCCCACATACAGCTCCACAAGGCAGTCTCCTAGGTTGCCCCACCCTGGTTAATACCTAAAGCTTTGCCCCTTCCAATGTAGCAGGCATGTTGAGACCAAAAAATATGGCCCAAGTGAAAGAACAGATCAAAGCTCCAAAAATAGAACTAAGCAATGAACAGATAGCCAACCTATCAGATGCATAGTTCAAAACACTGGTAATCTGGATGCTCACACAATTGGTCAAGTATGGCCACAAAATGGAAGAAAAAGTGAAGGCTATGTAAAGTGAAATAAAGAAAAATATACAGGGAACCAACAGTAAAGGGAAGGAAACTGGAGCTCAAATCAATGATTTGGAGAAGAAGGAAGAAATAAACATTCAACCAGAACAGAATGAACAAAAAGGAATTCAAAAAAATGAGGAGAGGCTCAGGAACCTCTGGGACAACTTTATACTTTCCAACATCCAAATCACAGGGGGTGCCAGAAGCAGAAGAGGAAGAGCAAGAAATTTGAATCTTATTTAAAAAAAAATAATTAAGGAGAACTTCCCCAGTCTAGCCAAAGGAATAGACTTCCATGAGACCAAGAACACTCAGAGAGTCCCAAAAAAGTTGGACCCAAGGAAGCACACACCAAGGCACATCATAATTACATTCTCCAAGGTTAAAGATAAGTAGAGAATCAAAAGCAGCAAGACAAAAGAAGACAGTTACGTACAAAGGAGTTCCCGTAAGACTACTAGCTGATTTCTCAAGAGAAATCTTGCAGGCAAGAAGGGGCTGAAAAGAAGTATTCAAAGTCATGAAAGACAAGGACCTCCATCCAAGATTACTCTATCCAGCAAAGCTATCATTTAGAATGGAAGGGCAGATAGAGTGCTTCCCAGATAAGGTAAATTTAAAGGAGTTCATCATCACCAAGCCCTTGTTATATGAAATGTTAAAGGGACTTTTCTAAGAAAAAGATGAAGATCAAAAACTATGAGCAGTAAAATGACAATAAACTCACAACTGTCAACAACTGGACCTAAAAAACAAAAACAAACTAAGCAAACACCTAGAACGGGAACAGAATCACAGAAATGGAGATCAGAGGGGAAGAGGAGGGGGAAGAATGGGGGGAATGGTACAGGAAATAGAAGCATAAATAGTAGGTACAAAATAGACAGGGGGAGGTTAAGAATAGCATAGGAAATGAAGAAGCAGAAGAACTTATATGTATGACCCATGGACATGAACTAAGGGGGGTTGGGGAATGCTGGGGGGAGAGGGGGTGCAGGGCAGAGGGGAATAAAGGGGAGAGAAGATTAAAAGAAAAGAGATTAATTACATGAAGTTGTGCAAGTCACTGCCCCCAACCATTCCTGACCCCAGCCCTCACAGACCATAGGTCATTTTGGTGTATTTCGAAAACAAAACAAAAACAGGAACAAACACAAAGTGTGTAGCTTATGTAAAGACATTCTTTCTAATCATGCTCTGTCCTGAAAAAAATTTCTGAGAAGGATGTTTGCCCACTTCTGTTTTTTACTCTCTTTATCTGATACATTTAGAAATGACTCACTTTGGAACTCCTCCTATAAAGTCAAAGAGCAGACAAAAACATGGCATTTAATTTACCAACATGAAGAGAGAGGAAAAACAAAGATCTCAGCAAATTCTCTAAACATGCTTCATGACCTGATTGCAGTTAAGTGTGAGGACGGAACAGGACTCGTGGAGGCCTCCGGATCGGTGCTGAAGTCTTCAGCTACTGTCTCAAGTTTCTGCTAAGAGACCTTAAATCCACCTGATTACTTGCAGGTAGCTTGTTTTGTTTATTATACAGGATAGTTGGAAGATCACTATCTTCTATTTCTACTTATTCCTTCTCAATTTATATTTCTTTTGTTTTCTCCTCATGTGCTCCTATCTTCTTCTAAATATTCCACATTCTATTTATCTTTATTCTTAATATATTCATTCTGAACTAATAGTGAATTTTTATGTCATTTTCCCCTCTCTTAGATTGGCTATGTTTCTCCTTCTGAACTTTGATTCCAATTTTCCCCAACAGTTTTGTTTTTCGAATCATTGATTACATATATATATATATGTATGTATGTATGTGTGTGTATATATTTATGTGTGTATGTATGTATGTTCTTATTACATTTCTCTCTTATTTTTATTTATCATTTTACTTATTCCTTCTTGCTACTGACTGTTATCCTATAATTGGAATTTGATTCTGGAATCTACTTTTCCTGTCACAGTCGATTTTTAGTTTCGAATTTCACTTACCTTTTTAGTTATTGTAAGTCAATTCAGTAAGTAAAAATTCTGTATTTATCTTAAATGTAGATGTATATTTTAGTCAAAACACATGGAGAATCATAAAAAGTGATCTTGTTCTGAAAGATTTTCAAACTCTGATTTATACATACTTTTAAAACAGATAAGATATAATATTTAAAATAGCTCATACTGGATGGCTCAATTGCTTTATATTGGAATTTTGCCTTTGGCAGTCTTTAACACTTCAATTTGTACGGTTCTCGGGACCTTTCCCCTTGTTAACAGTACCAAAGGCTTTCAGTTCTATGGTTCTTCCGAGTGAAAAGAGTATCAGCCTGACAGTCATCAGACCTAGGATCTGAGAACCCTCTTAGCAGATGTAAAAGTCAACTAATTCGCTGAGTGTCTACTTCAAAAACTGCAAAATAAAGGTAGAGACAAGGAGAGTTATTTTCAGTCCTAGAATTCTGCACTGCTGCCCTTCTCCCAGTATTTTACAGGTCCCCGCAGGAACGTGTGTGTTGGAGAGGGACGGGGACCCAGGTCTCTGCCATGCGCAAGGAAGGAAGGGTCCCTGACAGCCTTTGAATATTTGACGAGGTAAGGCTACAGGAAAGAGAGCGAGACTAACATTTTTTAACTATTATTTTGCTGACTCAGTTATTTTAACTTCTGCTAATTATTTTAGACCCTCGAGAACATTTTATCAACTCAGCAGAACGACTTCCTCGTCACAAAAATATTTGGGACCTCTGTAAAGGAAAACATAAAATGCTGTTAGAGCCACTAGGAAATGGGAACTGGAAAATAAAAAGGAAATGAGAAAAGAGCAATCTTACTGTATTAAATGGATAAAATTAGAACTTTGAACTTAGTTAAAAGAAAAAAGTAAACCCCCCAATGAACATTTATCCATTCAACTGATATTTAATCTTTATGTCATATAAGGCATTGTGCTAAATTCTGTGGAACAAGCATTTAGGGACAAGACTCATTTTTTGCCACCATGAAATGTACGGCCAGTATGATAAATATAATACAATGCCATTATAATAATTACAATACAAGAAAAAATGTGTCATTGCACAGAGAATATGGAAAAGGTTCAGCCCTGGTCTGATGTGGTTCAGTGGATTGAGCACCGGCCTGATAACCAAAGGGTCACTGGTTCGATTCCCAGTCAGGGCACAGGCCTGGGTTGTGGGCCAGGTCCCCAGTTGGGAGTGCACAAGAGGCAACCACACATTGATATTTCTCTCCCTCTCTTTCTCCCTCCCTTCCCCTCTCTCTAAAAATAAAGTCTTTAAAAAAATTTTAAAAAGAAAGAAAAGAGGTTCAAACAACACACCCAAAAGTAATTTAAGAGGCTGAAGAACTAATTTCTGGTTGGGATTATTAGAGGAGTTTCCAAAGAAAATAGAATATTCGAACTGGATCTTAAAAAATAGCTAGATTTTAACAGGCAGAGATTAAAGATAAGGGAAAGAGGAGGTTAAGATGAAGGACACAATTGCAGATAGACGCCAAGGAACAGAAAATAGCATTAACTTGGTATATCGAGCTCTTCAGGAAGACTATAGAGTAGGGCATGTTTTTAGGAATGTTGAGAATTAGGGGAGGATAGTGTCACAGAGGCCAAGAGAAGAGAGTGCTGAGGAGTTAAAGTATCCAATGATACATATTATATTCTGGAGGATAGAAACAGAGAAAAAGAGGCTTGAATATGCTATTTAGAGGTAATTTCAGCAAAGTGATAGAAGCAGAAGGCAAATTACAGGACTTGAGAAGTGAGTGGTAAGAAAAACAGACCCCAATACAAGCCAGTATCTTTGAAGAGGAGAAACTAGGCTAAATTAAGAGATTTAAAAAGCATAACATCCTGATGCAAGCATGATCCTAGATTGGGTACAACTGTAGGCTAATCAGCTATAAAAGATATTTTGGGGACATTTGGAAAATTGAATAAAGATTGAGTATTCCTTAAAGTGCAATTGTACTATATAATGGGGAGGCTGATAACTGAAAAAAAGAAAGCACTTTAAAAACAATATGCATTTACACCCGTGTTCGTAGCAACATTATTCACAGTAGCTAAAAGGTGGAAGCAACTCAAATGTCCATTGACACATGAATGGATACACAAAATGTGGTCTATACATGCAATGGACTATTATTCAGCCTTAATAACAAAGGAAATTCTTTTTTTATTTAATCTTTATTGTATTTTTTTCATTTACCATTTAGTCCTCGTACACCCCCTACCCCCAAGCAATCACACTTTTGGAAATTCCGACACTTGCTACAAGATGAAGGAATCTTAAGGACACTAGTTTAAGTGAAATAAGCTAGTCACCAAAAAAAAGAAGAATGCTATATGATTCTAAATACTACATAAACAGAAAATAGAATGATGGTGGCTGTGTTCATATACTGGGGCTGGGGGTGAAGGAAATAGAAAGTTGTCTAATAGTTTCAGTTTTGCATATATTTCAGTTTTGCAAGGTGAAAAAGTCCTGGACTTTGCATAATAATGTGAATATATTTAACACTACTGAACTGTACACTTAAAAACGGTTAAGATGATAAATTTTATTTACATATATTTTACAAGTAAAAATTATTAAGAACAAATATACACATATAACAATTTTGTTAAATTTTGCTTAACAAAAAATATACATACATATATACAAGAATGTGTAATAATATGATATAATATAATATAATATAATATAATTAATATAAAGGTCCAGAGGGTGTAAATTAAGGTGCTAAAGTAGTAATCACTGACTGGTAGAATATGACATTTTTATTTTCTTATTCTTGCTTGTATATATTTTCCAAATTTTTCATGCATATTTTGTGCTTCTGTAGTAATAAAGCTATTGTTCCCGTTACATTCAATACAAAATAAATAAATAGGAAAGAAATGATGGGTGGTGAGAAAGTCAATGCCAAGAGTGTAAACAATTCTTGAGAAATTGGACAGCAAAAGAAAAACCTGAGCTTGTATCTAAAAGACATAACTGAATCTAGAACACCTTTTTCTGTAGTGATGAATGAGTCCTTTGAAAATCTGATGCAGGCAATGGATGAGTCTTTTGCCCTCAAGGAAATAAAAATATGTAAAGTTAAAATTTCCCATATCGTTTGAGGTGGTGATGGAGCTCCTCAAAGCCCTTTCATGGATCTAAAGTTGGGAACCCCTGGTATAGAAGTTATTGTTTGTTTCCCCATTAGACTCATTTGTTTGTTTTTAATAGAAAATGTTGGCTAAAGAAAGGAACCAGTGGAGAATATGCAGTTGAAAGTACAAGAAAAAGGAGAAATAATACGTTGATAGAAACTTCCAAATGAGGTTATTATTTTTGATACACATTTAAGTTGATACAGTATATTTAAAGGTTCTATCAGGGCGTGTTTTTTGTGATCTATTGTGAAGTCAAGGAATACAAATTAAAACTGTGTGTGGTTCTACATCATTATGTGGGAAGGCTAGATTTCTAAGATTACTCATTTTTTAAAAAGATAATTTTACTTTAAACATGTTTGCTCATCTTTTTTGCAGAAGTTCAGCAATGGAGTCTTTCCCTGATGACACCAATTCAACTGACCTACAACCACAGCCCTGGAATGAACCCCAACTAATTTTCTCCATGGTCATTCTCAGCCTCACTTTCTTATTGGGATTGCCAGGCAATGGGCTGGTGCTGTGGGTGGCCGGCCTAAAGATGAAGTGGACAGTGAGCACCATTTGGTTTCTCCACCTCACACTGGCAGACTTTCTCTGCTGCCTCTCCTTGCCCTTCTCCCTTGTTCACTTGGCTCTCCAAGGGTACTGGCCTTATGGCTGGCTCCTATGCAAGGTCATTCCCTCCATCATCGTCCTTAACATGTTTGCCAGTGTCTTCTTGCTGACTGCCATTAGCCTGGACCGCTGTCTTTTGGTACTCAAGCCAATCTGGTGCCAGAATCACCGTGATGTGAGGGCAGCCTTCACTATCTGTGGATGTATCTGGGTGGTGGCTTTTGTAATGTGTATACCTGTGTTCATATACCGGGAAACATTCACTGCAGACAACCAAAATATGTGCGGCTACAATTTTGGTGGCTATAGCTACTTAGATTTAGACTTCATCTTTGATGGACCGGCAGATGGGTCTCTTGACAACTCCACTGTTCAGCTGCCTGGAGAAATGGATTATAGGTTAGATACTTTCCCTTTACAAACTAACAATCATCCTTGGACGGCTGCTACTCTCCTTCATTCTCAAACATTTCAAAGACCTCCTGAAGATTCACTCCCTGTGGATTCAGCTACATTATTCAATCAAAATGATTATAAATTAATTAAACCTGATGATGAGGTCTTACCTGCAACCCCCACTGGCCTTCCCACTGAAGATCACAGAACTAACCCACTGAATAGCTCAGATGCTGTCCACTCTACCAATTTAGAGCTTTTCTCTAGTGCCTCCAGCAATGCCTTCTACACGACTGAGCTATCACAAGATTTCCAGTATGATAATGAAAACCTCTTTGCATATGACAATCAAGTTGCAACACCTCTGGTAGTAATAACCATCACTAGGCTAGTGATGGGTTTCCTGCTGCCCTTTATTGCCATGGTGACCTGTTATAGCCTTATTATCTTCCGAATGCGACACAGCCGCTTCACCAAGTCTCGAAGCAAAACTTTCCGAGTGTCCATGGTGGTGGTAGTTGTCTTTCTTGTCTGCTGGGCCCCATACCACATTGTTGGAGTCCTCTCGTTGTTTATTGACCTAAATACTCCCTTTGGGGAAGCTCTACTCTTACTGGACCATGTGTCCATTGCTCTAGCATCTGCCAATAGTTGCTTGAATCCATTCCTCTATGCCCTCATGGGAAAAGATTTTAGAAAGAAAACCAGACAGTCCATGCAGGGCATTCTGGAGGCAGCTTTCAGTGAGGATCACACACATTCTACCAGCTGTACCCAAAACAACATCTTTTCAGAAAGAAACAGTAGCAGTAGAGCTGTGTGAGAATATGGAACATTTGACCCAAGCAAAGCTTCTTAGGTACTCACCAAGTGTGACATGTTTCTAAAAGAACAAGGGACATGGTGAGCAGGGATTTCAGAATACATCAAAGACTCAATCTAGAGCTTTTCCGAGTGGGTCCCAGACTAGTTGCAGTAGCATCACCTGGAAACTCTCCAGCCCCACCCCGGGCGATAACAATGTCTCTTGTTGCTGATGAATGCTAAATTTGAGAGTCAATGTAAAGCTTTGTCTATGTCTATCCCAAACAAAGCCTACTGAAATAAATGAGAATCTAGTCTGCTGTGAAATGATGTTTCCATCATTAAATTTACTATTTATATATCTAAATTCTCTCCAAGATTGATTTTAAAACCAATTCTTCTAGCTTTGAGTGAAAGATGATTATTTACTCTAGGCTTAATTGTTGTGCTCCTTGTGGTGGTGGGATCATTTTAAATAAAGAGAAAGTACAAGAAGAAATGGTCTGTGAAAACAAGGATTTATGAGACTGAGTCTGGAGCAGAATACAATGCCAGACACTTATTTGGCATATTTATGGATACAGGACACAATTCCTAGTTTCCATTATTGCAAATAATCATCTTTTGTGTAAACAGACAACTAACACATCTAACAACCTACTCATGAACTGGAACGTAAGCTGCCCTTGATGAGGTCTGTTGTCCATTTGTTTACTCTATTGAGAGAGCCATCTAACTTCTCCTGGTCTTAAATTCATTAATTCCTTATTCCTCCCCTGCCTCTAAGTCTTCTTTCACATTATACTTTGTATCTATATGAACCTCTCATTTCAAAAGTTTAAAATCACTGAAAAATAACTGAGTACCCTCCAAGAACACCACCAAACTTACTAAACTGATTATAGGTGTGTACCTTACATGCTATGATTACCAGATGTATCTTTAGGTTTTTAAATTAAACTTTAACAAAATAATGCATACACATAGTTTAAAGAGATTCAAGGTTTATAATGAAATATGAGCAGTTTCCTGCTCTGCTCTGCCCAGCCGCTCCCTCCTCCCACTCCCATTTCCCAGAGATAACACTTGCAACAATTCTAAATGTTTCTTCTGATACTTGCCATGATATTTCTAAGTCATGGGCTTATGCTGATCATTTTTGCAGATATGATAAAATAACGTCTTGTTTTGTAAGATGAAGAATTTTATCCAAGCACATTTATATTTTTTCATTTATCCAGAGTCCCAATATTCATCAACCATCATACTTTAATTCATTCATGACCACACATTTTCTTCTGCTTCCTCTATCCATTCCATATATATATATATATTCCAAATATATATATATATCTTTCCTTCTGTCATTCTTTGATTTTCTAAAATCATTGTTCAATTCCCCATTACCTTCTCATTTTCTCTCTATATAATAAACCTCTGTTAAACCTCTAAAATTTCAGGTTTCCTTGTACTTCAGCATAGCCTCATCTAAACTGAATACAATGATTTAATGTAATATTTAACCTAAAGATAGAAAATGAGAAGTTTTTGACTTGCTATGATTGACATGAGGGTCTGGACTACAAATTTGTTATAAAGTGCTATATAGGAAATTTCAAGTAAGAATTTCTTTTACCTGTGAGGTAATGCCTACTATGATGTATTTGCAGTGCTACATTTTGTTTTAATCTGCTTATATTTTTGATGCAAATAAATGGGTTCTTTCTTGTGGTTCCTTGCAAGGCTCAGTGATTCATGGATCCTTTTAAATGTATAACATGCAGAGTATATCATACTATCTAGATATGCAACAAATAAATCTTATTGTGGGTGGCTGTAGGTTTGCTCTAATAACAATGGGCTAGGCTTCTGGAAAGCCCAACACAACTCACAAGACCCTGGGTATAAGTCCCAAACTCCTGAGGTTAAAATATAGTATATTAGGATGAATGAACTTGGCATAATTACAAAGATTCAATAATTGGCATTGCTGGACTCCTTCTAAAGTGCCAATTACCTTGGAAATGTATCCTGAAAACAATTTCTGATAGGAGTTCCCTCATTTCTGAGCTTAAAAGTTCTGGTAAGTACCTGTAAGTACTCACAGGAAGTCCCAGATGGGGACCCAACTCCTCCTCAAACTGTAATGCCTTTAATCTTTAAAATATGCAAGAATGCAAGCAAGGCGGCCTTGTCCACACACCAAGCTGCAAAGGGTGACTGTCCTTCCCAACAATATTTCACTATCTTTAATAGCATTTGAAAAGGGGAATGTTAAAGGCATGCTTTAAATTCTTCTCTCTCATCAATCTTCCCCCCAAAAAATAGTCAACTAATCAAACCCTGTGGTATGAGGTTGGGGAGGGGCAAAAGACCGACTGAAAACAAATGCTTCACATTTCTCTCTTCCTATCCTGGCAAAAAGAAATTTGAGACCAGCACAAGTAAGATAAAACCATAAACATTCTTTTTTGTTTTTATTAAGAAAGCATGCAAAAAACAACAACAACAATTGTGAGACCATACCCCCCTTCCCAGCCTGCACCGATGCAAAGCATTTTGGGTGGTAGGAAGGACTCACCAAACCAGAAACATCGGGGTTGAAGAGAGGAAGGCAGGGATGGGTGAACCTATACCAAGCAATTGCTCCTTCTGTCCCTTTCCTCCACTTTCTCCCTTATTTGCTCTTGCAGGCAGTGAGCTCCTGCAGTTTTGCACACATCACCCAATACAATAACAATGACTATACTTCAAGTCCAGCAATGCTGAACCAACAAGAAAAAGTAGTATTCTTCCATTTCATGGAGGGGCGGGGAACTGAGGCCCAAAGAGGCTCAGGTTTGTCCTGTGCCACTGAGCAAGGCTGAGTTTAGTGGAGGGGACCCAAAGTCCCAGCAGGCTTGATCTCCAGCCCTAACCCCAAATTTCAGTTACTCTGGCAGCCCACCAGAGTTCCTAATGGGGCTTAGTTTTCCTTTAAGACACAGATGAATTATAAACAAGGGATACTGACATGTATGATTTAGTCTACCCTTGCAAACCCTGTCTGGATCTGAGTAGAAAAGGGGTTTACAAAAGAGAAGTGATCATAGGTAAAGGGGGCATCTTAGGGAGAACAGATGGGAGGTTGTGTGCAAGAGGCACCTTGATTGGAAGGAATAAGGAAGAGATGCCCGAAATAGGAACACTGGGCGAAGGCATTGTGCCGCCCTCTTAAGAGAAATTCTCCTTTCCCCAATGGGAAATATTACATCATTCTTCAACCCCACTAACTGCCCTCTAACACAACAGGGGGATTCAAGTCACTCACACCCCTACCTTGTACAAGAACTTCAAAGAAATAAAGTGCTCTTTAGTCAACTGCCCTTTCTTGCCCCTTTACTTCAGCCTCACTAGACTTCAACAAACGCCCACGTATAACCCCTTACAGAGAAAAGGGGTGGAAGAGGGAAAAAAAGCAGGAGAGTAGAAAGATAAATCTCTTGGAAATCATCAGTAAATAAAAGAATATTATAAAAAAAAAAAAAAGCAGAAATCAAAGAGAGAGTGGCCCTGTCCATTCCATACATTTGTCCTGTAGCTTTCAGACACTAAACAGAGAAATAAAAACAGAAGTAAAACTGTTCTTTCCCCCATGAGTAAAATTCAATAATTAACATCATATATACACTGAGTACTTTGCAGCAATCAATCATGGCCACTCCTTGTTCAAGGAGATAAGTTATCCCTATACCTTTTTCTGGGGTCTTCCCTTGGCCCTCATTGAATACTTCCCTCTAGATTATTTACTCTCCACTACCAATGCCTTCGCCCCTCAAGAGACCATCACAAAAGTTTCAGCCCCAATGATCTGGATTCCAACAGAAGCATTTGCCTACATAGTTAAGTAACTGAAATATTCCCTTCCATGTCAATGCTAGCTGCATTTTCCTTTCCCCACCCTCCTACCACCAGTTCGGTTTGGTTCTCTGTGATGGGTGGGAAAAAGATTCCCATCCTGTCCTAAAACACGATGAAACTAAGAGTGGTAGGAAATGAGGCAAGAAAACAAGGTGAGAAGAAGAGTTGAGCAAACAACCATAGGAGGACAAAATAATATTTTGCTGAATGGGAAATGGGGATTGAAGAATAATGGGGGTGGAAGTAAATGCAGAGAAGAGCCACAGTTAATTTTCAGAGAAAATCATGTTTTAAAAGCCAAAATGGTTAAACTGAAAACATCTCCAAAAAGCTAAACCTGTGCTGAATAGTTGTCCTCCCCGCTCCCACAGCAGCAGAGTTCTGGCTCAGACCCACCCCATCTCCCACAGAGGACGGCCTAGGAATGAGCCACTGGACTTTCATTTGACATAGTATGACACACCAATTCCCAAATGTTTTAAATTCCACTGCCCTGCTGCAGAATTCTACTCCACCCAGCCCAGCCTCTTATTCTACTCAGGTTTTATTGTCACCTTCCAGCACCACCACCATCATGCCTTTCCTTGAAGGGGAATGAGGATTGCCAGAAGTAAGAATGGAAGATATAAAGGGACAAGGAAGAGCTCAAAGGACAAAATTAGCACCATTGAGTAAAACCTGCTAAGTCATGACTGCCAAGCAGTGTTAGAGATCCCTTCTACTTGAAAATGTGGCCTCTTCAGTCCTGGACTGAATTGACGAGAACAGAAAAAAATTTAGGGCTGAAAGGTGGGATTAGCATTGAATTTCTCAGAGGGAAAGGTAAATCCAAGTTTGAAACCTTTCTCTGTAGCTATCACGGCCTCACCTTCCAGCCGGATGATTTTAAATTAGCAAGGGGTGCACATGGTCGACAGTATAGGAACAGGAGACAGGGGACCGCATACAACCAATAATAATAATAATAATAACATAATAAGGATAATAATAAAAGAATTAGGAAACAAAGAAGAAAGAGGAAGAATGAGGCAGGTAAGAGGGGTTATCTTCGGCAGCATCTTGCGGTGACTTCTCTGACAGAGAAAGAAAAAAAAAAGAGAATATATATCTATATACAGGCAAGGGGGGAAAGGGTGGGCTGGGGCTGCTCTTTCCCCACTGCCAGACATCACCGGCCCGCCCTGGGCTGAGAGTCACACTCTACGATGCACTAAGTGATCAAGTCCCAGTCGAAGTCATCAGGGATCTCCTCATTGGCACCAGGAGGTGGAACCGCCGGCCGAGGGACCATGTGGTGTGCTGTCAGAAAGAGAGAAAGAGACTAAATGGAGGGTGGAGTGGAAGCTATTCTATCAGTTAGATGGACAGTGCTCAGCCCCCAGAATGCCTTGAGGAACACCTGGTGAAACTACTGTCCTTATCAGCCCTGAGCTATTTTTGTTGCTAGCCATTACTTCAGTGAGGCCCTAGGAAATAAACTGGAACTAGGTCCCATGCCAATATGATAGTTTGCAGCCATTAACACTTATACCTATGAAGACTATGTAATAATGGAAAACATACAGATGTACTATTTTGAAATAGCAGTACAGAAATTTGTATATGTATTACGTGGATAAGGAATGTGCGGACAAAGATTCAGATCTCACCTCCAAAATTGAAAACACTTGTGGTTTGGCAGGATATCAGTAATTTTTCTAAAGTGGATTTAAAGGTAAAGGATTTGTTCATTTTATACTATTTAAGATAATTGTGGGTCTCTCTTGGCACTGCTACCATCAGAGATAGTTCAATCCCAGACCCCTGGTACTAGAGGTCAAGCAACAGGAAAGCAGACATGGGCACAAAGCAGGTATGTTTTATGTTTTGCATACCACGTTCACTTTATTTGCCCGAGTATAGCTCTCATCTAGCTTCTAAAGTTAGACATAAATGTTCTAGGTATCTATCTTTTGTTTACACTCAATGTACTTCCTCTCATTGTTGCAGGAACCAGATAATTTTATTTTATTAACTAATTAATTTATTTTATCCTCACCCGAGGACATTTTTTCAATGCTTTTTAAAGACAGAGGACAGGAGAGAGAATATCAATGCAAGAGAGAAGCATCGATGGGTCGCCTCCCGTACATGCCCGGAGCCGGGGTCACACGTACCCGGACCAGGGATCGCACGCGTCCAGGCCAGGAGCCGTGGCCACAACTCGAGTCTGTGCCTTGACCAGAATCAATCCCACAAACTTTGGGTTTCAGAAGGGCGCTCCAACAAACTGAGCCACACTGGCCAGGGCATACCAGATCATTTTAAAGTAAATCTGTCTTATTTAGTCTCCCATGACATATACCTCACTAGTAAGGGGCCCGCACTCCAGCCTTTAGAATCTCACCCTTGCCAGGAGGTGCAGAGAATGCAGGCCAAGAGACAGAAGAAAGTGAAACAACTGGTCAGGGAAGATACTGCTCAAGTGATGGTGAAACACACTTCCTGGCTCTTACCTGGGCGATTGTATGCTGCTGAGTCCTGGGTGGAGATTGGGTACATTGGTGATGGGCTAGAGTAGAGATGGGGGGCTTGTGGGTGCCCATAAGAGTTCACTGCCAAACAAGACAAGAATTACTTGAATGGGATCATTCTACTCAATGAACCAGCGTCCAACAGAAAGGGGAAAAACAGTTCTCTTCCCCTCCCCTTAACTTCTCCCTTCTGTTCTGTTCTGCAGCTCCTGTGGGTATGAGGGCTTTCTGCAGAAGCTATCAGCCCTCCCCTCTTAGGGTAAAAAGAACCTGGATACTAAAATTGTGAAAGAATACAGCTATTAGTAGGAAGACAAATATAAAAATAGGATCACTGAATCTCTCTCATGTCACTGGGTCGAAGATCACACAATGGTAGAGAAGTCAGACTTCACCTGATACAACTCAGACAGGGGTTACTTAGACACAGATTTGGGATGGACACGTTCTCCTCCCTTTTCTTATGTAGCTCTGATCTCCCACATCGAGGCATCGTATGGTCTATTTCTTTGGCATTCTTTGGTATAGTGCTTTACAGACAAATGTTCAGTCACTGTGATGAACAAACTAGTCCTGCCGCTCAGTTTGGATCACTGCTTATTAGATGATTTTTCTCAATTCCCTTCTGCCCTTCTCCTCCCCATCCCTTTTTGTCAGAGTCTCCACCTCCTTGGCCACTTGTTTTGTTTGTACCTTGGTTCAAGGCTGGCTCCTGTTTGCCACTTGTGAGGGCACAGGAGTCAGTAATACGGGTAGGGGCTGGTGGCCGGTGGGAGCCCCCTTGGGGGGGCATGTGACCAGTCTGAGTAAGGAAGTGGTTGAGGGAGTCGCACAGATTGGCAATGTGATGCTGGTCCAGGCTCCAGTTCTTCTGTTCTGCCTGTCGCAGACTCTCCATCAGTTCTACAAACAGAGAAGCAAGAAGTGCTATCCTTACAGAGATCCCAGAGCCCCTACGGGCTCTACCCCTTCTCGCTGTTCATACCACATCATAAATCACCACCACGGATTAAATGCATTACCCACTACAAATGGTATCCTTGGGGGATCCGCATTTTCAAACTCTCTATTCATTACTAAATTCGTATCATAATTTTGATCTTACTGATGAATAAAACAAAATTTCAAAGTAACAGAGGGAATTAACCATGGTCATCCTGTCAGTAAATGGAGACAAAAATACAAAATAATGGTGGAGGGTTTCTGAGTTCCTGAGAGCCTTCCCTCTCCCAGAGACAGAATGGGCTAGGATAAACCACTGTCATGTTTTTGAAATAAGGCTAAATGTATGAAACTTAACTTGTGAATCATATCAATACCATCCACTTTGTGAAATATGAAGGGAAAATAATGAAACCATCAATCCTCAAACTTCAGTTGCCCACACCCTTCGGGCCCTGGTTTCTGTTGGGCCTGGACACGTACACCGGAGCCCTTCTCTCTCCTGCTGTCACTCACCTGAGAACTGTGACTGCTCAATGCTGGACCAATTGAGCCGATTCACCATCTTGAAGCTTTCCTTTAAGGAGTCGATATTAGAGCACCAGTCAGGAGGAAAGGCTGTAAAGAGGAGGACAGATTGGGGAATAAGACAGAGTCAAGTGTAAGAGGGCAGCCAACTCACAGCAGACCGGCCACATGGAGGATTCTTGCATCTACACGGGTTATTGATTGCATTACCAAGATAGTTTTGGAATCCCATTCCCTGGAGATTTAGGACTAAAAAAGTTATCTATGCATTAGGTAGGGACAGCCCAGCTCGTAGGCAGAGGAATATGTAAAACAATCCCAATTTATCCAGAATTTCTATAATACAGGGCTCAAAGTAACAACTTCTGTTACCTCGGATGAGCTCTCATGGGAGGAGAGAGACTAAAATCTCACCACTGCACCTCCATGGCCAGGGCCAGAACAAGGGGGTCATTCACCCTGCCCTAGCATCTCCCTTTACCCTCCTTACTCACCAAAACCAGTACTGTTGATAGAAGCCTGGCCTTGTGCCTGTGGCTGTGGCGGCGGCGGCTGCTGGCCAGGGTGGGAGTGGGGATGGTGCTGATGAGGGTGGTAGCCTCCGTGCTGCAGCGGGGGTGGGTGCATGGCCATCAAAGAGGGAGGCCCATAGCCTTCAGCCCCAGCTTGCTTCCCCCCGGGGGGGGCACAGCCATCGGGGCTTGGGGCGTGCAGCGGAGGAGCACCCCCTACAGCTGAAGGGCCCTGGGCTGGTGCCTGCTGCTGCGGGGGCTGTGACTGTTGGGGCTGTGGCTGTGGCGACTGCTGCTGCTGTTGGGGTGGCGGCGGCTGCTGCTGGTACATGTAGTAGTTGTTAGCGGGTGGCATGTCCCCCAGGAGAGACGAAAAGCCTGCAGGGTAGGAGGAAGCAGGCAAGTCAATTGGGCCACGCATCTTTCACTCAACAGGATTTCCACTGAGTTGAGGTGGGTAGCCTCAGACAGAAACCACAGACCTCAAAGGGTAAGGGTGTTCTGGGGCGGCAGGGATCCCATGGGTAGGTACAGCAGACAGAGGCAGAGCCTCGACAGTGTGGTGACAACTGAAGTTTTAGCAAAAGGTCAACATGTACTTTTTTATGCGATTTTACAGCGATTTACGTGTAGGCCTGTAATCATGGTATCGAAACACACCACACATCGGGTAAAGTTTAAAAAGTAAATCATAAAGAAGACAAAGCCATTGGGCATCTATTCTCTCCTCTTCCTTATTGTCCCTTCACCTTCCACTCTCACCGCCTTCTCTTGTCTTCACTTCCAACAAATGGAGCTTCTGTGAGGAGCGGAGGAAGGATGGATGTATTTTTCAAACAAGTTGGCCAGAAAAGAACTAGAGAGTGAGGCTCGGAGTTTTCAGCCATCATTAAACTTTGAACATCAATGAACACTTTGCTGTCCCTGCCAATTGAATTTTTTACTTTGTTTCTGAGAGCCCCTCCATGTTCCTCTCTTCCAATCAACCAATCGCCTGAGTTGGAGTTGTTTCTCATGCAAACGCTACAGTCTCAGAACCCAACTCTAGATGTGAATCCCCTGAGATATAAAAGAACAAATTAATGACAATTAAAATAAATTTTCTAAAAAGTGACTCCTAACTACTTTCAACCATTCTATTCATCTCCAACTGTCAATATAAGACAAAACTATAGAATAAGAAGATCTGATGACTCACCTGAAGCCTTAACTTCACCCCTACCTCTAACTTCTTTAAAAATAAAACAAAACAGCCCTGGCTGGTGTGGCTCAGTTGGTTGGACCATCATCCTGGAAACCGGAAGATTTCAGCCTCAATTCCATCAGGGCATGTGCCTACGTTGCAGGTTTGGTACCCACTGGGGCACATACAAAAGGCCACCGATTGATGTTTCTCTTTTCCACTGATGTTTCTCTCTCTCTCCCCCTCTCTACTCCTCTCTCTAAAATCAATAAGCATTTCCCTGGGTGAGGATTAAAAAAGGTGTGGGGGAGGGGTGAACCAGATCCTCTCTCAATGAGCCTTCCATAAAGGACTTCTGATCATTCTCAATTGATGATTCAAGAAGTTGAGTATGGACAAGATATAAACTAATATTAGGAAGAATCATTAATTATGTTAGGAGTGATAACTGAAATAACTAAAAAAAGTCTTTATCATTAAGGATGCATGTTCAAATAATATTTACATGTAGATGATATATCTGGGAATTGCATCAAATTACTCCAATTTTTTTAAAAAAAGGAGAGCCCTGGCTGATGTGGCTCAGTGAACTGAGCACCAAAAGGTTGCTGGTTTGATTCCCAGGCAGGGCACGCGCCTGGGTTGTGGGTCAGGTCCCTAGTAGGGGGTGCTCAAGGGGCAACCACACATTGATGTTTCTCTCCCTCTTTTTCTCTCTCCCTTCTCCTCTCTCTAAAAATAAGTAAGTAAAAATATTTAAAAAGAATAAAAAAGAAAACTGAACGGTAAATGAAATAAATCTAACAAAACATTGGTAACTGTTTAAATTGGGATATGGAAATATAAGGGTTTATAAGGGCTTATAACACTATCTTCACTATTTTTGCATCTGTTTGAAATTTTTCTAATAAAAATTAACATAAATATGCTAAAAATAAAATTGTTTTGACAAAAAACGCACTTTTTCCTTTGTACTGACTCTTAAAGAAAGAGAACTGCTGCCCCCTAGTGGTCATTCCTTAAATAACTTGCTTGCAGCAATAAAATCACCACCCTTTCTTCTAGAAAGGGGATTCTTCCAACTCACTTTCTGAAGCTAATAACCCAGGCCACATGTTGAAATAGCTGTCCTTTAGAACTAAGCCAGAAGAGCTCTACTCCAAACAGTTTTGGTTCATGACATGCTTCCTCTGACCAGTGGTCAACCCCTTCTTTTGTTAAAAATACTAAAAAAGGGAGAAAAGAAAATGTCACCACCTGTTCAAAAATATAAAGATGACCATGATTCCATCCCAACTCCAGACTCACCATGCTGAGAGGAGGAAGAGGACTTCTCCAGCATGGATTTGTAGAGGTTGCGGAAGGACCAGCTCAGATCCTGAAAATTGATCTCCGAGTAAGAGAATTTGAAGTCATGGTTGGTGTTATACAAGGGAGGGGGACCCTCAGCACTTTCTCGGCCTGGAGCCCCTGCAGCCACTGCTCCGCCGTCCACAGATCCCGTGCCCTGCAAACAGAAGTAAGAAAGACTTGATCCATATCCTGCACGAGGATGCAATACTACCCTTTAATGGTCCCCGAGCTCCCCTGCCTGTCTTCATCTTCTAGCAACTTTTCAGTGAAAGGGCATCATTTTCTTCTTATACTTATATTTTGATGTAGCCCCTTGCCCTTTCCCTAGGCTACACCCATGCATTCATTTCTCTTATAAACGTTTTTGCCCCCATTCTTCTCATCCCTTTTTTTGTAATCTTTCTCAAATATCTGTCCTCATTCTCTCCCTCCCATCCCTTCTTCTCTCTCTCAGCTTTCCTCTTTTCCACTCCCCTTCTTTATCAATTTATCGGCCTACTGTATCACAGATACTCAATACCTAATTTTGAACTGATAGATATATGACTCTATTCAACCACTCACCCATCCATTCACCCAGCCACCAACTCATCCACCCATCCATTCATCTGCCCCTGTGCCCCTGCCACCTCTACTCCCTACCTGGCCGTAGCTGGCGATAGATGTGGGGCTCTGAAGTGACATCTGGGGATTCCCCTCAGGAGGCAGTGAGGCTTCTCCACTCCCTGGAACACCTCCCCGGGGACTCTTGCTTGCCTCCTGTTCTGGTGAGTCCTGGGATAGCTGAGGGTAGTGAAAGAAAAGAAATCCATAAGCAGAGGCTAAACTTCCTCCCAAGATCCACAGTTTCACCTTTGCTGGCATTCGCCCTTTGCCCCACATATATGAAAGGGCAAATACCAGCAAAGGACTGAAAACCCAGGAAAGAATGTGGAAGGAGCAGCTGGCTCAGAAACAACATCTCTCTATGAGGTGGGGACTTACATCATCATCTGGAGGGTGTCTTCTCTTTCGGGAGATGTCAGGACAGGTGTCAATTGTCCAATAAGAGCCCTGGAAGAAAAACCAGCACCACAGAGAACAAAATCATTATAGCTGAAGATGCCCACCTCTGGAAAAGTAGGTATCTTGGAGGATTTTCTCATAAAATAACAGTTGTATTAAGACAAGTGACTGGGAAGAAAAATTTTTTAAAAATATGATTGGAAATTCACAGAGAAGCCTGAGGGTACTGGCTATTTTTGAGGAGTAAATTTGTCCTCCAAGTTCCCTAAGTATATCAAACATACCCCCTGTAGTGCAATCACAGACTTAGATTTTTCTGCAGAGACAGAACAATGGTATCTAGTTCAAAGATCTGGAAATGCCAGACACAACCTTGCCCTTGCACATGATCTGAGGCAAGGCTCTCTTTGACTTTAGCATCCACATTTGTCAAATGAAGAGAATGATTTATCCTGTTTTCCTTTTGAAGATAAAAGTGATGAGACTTGTGTATAGAAAAGTTCCCACAGAGGTTATTAAGTCTACTTTTTAAATGTAGAAAGTGTGCCACATAGAAAAAACAGGACAGCAAAGTCAACCTTAACATCAACAGTTCTATTTTTAAAAAAAGATTTCACAATCTTCCTTAGTCACTCATTTTAGTGGGGGCCCATAAGCTTGATTACCAAGCTCTTCCATTGACAAAAAATAAAGCTGCTTCTCTAATTAGCATAATTTCCTCTTCTGGGTAATTAAAACAACCTCAAGACTCTGGGATGTCAACTACTTCTCTCTCCTTCCTGTTCCTCCCATCAGTGCGTACAGAAAGCTGTATCTCACCTTCCCAGGGTCATCCCGAGGTCTGGGCACCTTCCGGAAACACTTGTTGAGGGAAAGGTTGTGCCGAATTGAATTCTGGGGAAGCACAGAAGCAAGTTAGAGTTAAGCATTGTGCAAAGCAGTACACTTTACAACAGAACAGAGACACAAAAGGACATAACAAAAAATAAAGTTCAAGTATCAGGGTAAACTTAGCAACTCTCAGCTCTACTGATGGAGGAGATTACCTATCAGATAGCAAAAGCAATGCACGAAGAAAAATGCAGAAATTATATTGATGAGCAGTAATGACTACAAATTTGACCACCAGGTGCTTCTGGAAAGCTGATTACAGTATATAGTCTTTCAATCTTTCTACCCAACTGACAACAGGTATATATATAATCGCATATGCCCAGTTATTATATCATTCTGTCATAAAAGCACAATATTTTAAAACTATTTATAAAAAAATAACAAATATAAATTATGAGAAAAACAAAAGCACAGTTCACCTTTGTTTTCTCAACAGCCCATAGAATGGTCACATTAGGAGAAAAGAAATATTGTATAAAGTGTTGGGGTTTTTAGTAGCTAGCAGGGACATATCCATAAAGGAAAAAACTGAATGCTTTTGCCCAGGCCAGGTGGCTCAGTTGGTTGGAGCATCATCCTGTACACCAAAGGTTTGCAGCTTTGATTCCCAGTCAGGGCACATACCTAGGTTGTAGGTTCCATTACTGGTTGGGACCATCGATGTTTCCCTCTCTCCCTCTCTAAACATATTCTTGGGTGAGGATTAGAAAACAAAACAACTCAATGCTTTCAACAGTCTTCAGCTCATCATCTGGTTTGTATGTCAACAGGTGATTCACAGAGTGAGAGAACTATATTAAATCCCCATTCTACTCTGCATTTGGCAAATAAACTGGCACTCCAAAAGACTGAGAACATCAGTCTTCCTTCTTTGCTTGGAAGAGGAGTCCCCTTCTTTTTTTATCTCCAGCCAAACAACTCATCCTCTCATTACTTGCTTGGAGAATGAGTTGTCAGTGAAGGACCTAATTATATTATTTTTTCTTGGTATACAAATTTTTAGAAGATAATGACTATGTGCAATGAAACTTTGGAAATGTGATAAAATTCCTAGCACTAGGTAGGAAGGAGCAATGCCATGCCTTGCACAGTAACTTGAACACAGTAGAGTGGCAATAAATATTTGTGAAATGAATAGATCTTTTTGAGGAATCATCAGAGGGTATATGGTGAGCAACAGCATCCTACCATCCCCATAACTATACTTAGAGGCTCATTACCACTGGAGTTTCCCTGATGTACTTGAGGAAAGTATATACCACATGTCTGACACAGGTCAGGGTGAACCAGACCAGAATACACAAAGAGACAAAAGCAGAGAACAAGGTTGTTAAAGGCTGAAAATAAGCCTTTGTTATAGAAGCCATCCCACCTTCCAGCCAATGCCAGCATTCTTGTAATAGGGGAAGTTATCACAGATCCAGCGGTAAATCTCACTGAGGGTCATCTTCTTGGCTGGGGAGGAGTTGATGGCGTAGGTGATGAGGGTGGCGTAGCTGTATCGTGGTTTGCCATCCTGGTGGACTGCTGCCTCATCTTTGCTCAGGGTGGCATTAGGATCTGTGGGTGAGCCTGGTGGACACTTGCGGCTGCCCCCTGGAGGCCCAGCTTGGGAGGCACTCCCAAGCTTCTCAATGGTAGCGCGGAGGGTCAGCTGGGGGAGCCAGTCTATGGAAGTGAGGCTACTCTCTAGGTCAGAAGCCATGGTTCTTCTTGGTTCTATAGAGAAGCAGACAAAGGGAACAGGAAAATAGAGTAGATGTTACCTCTGGCTATGGTGGCACGTAATACTCAAATCCTAGTGCTTTAAGCGAAGTAGCATTTCTTTCTTCTATAATTCCCTTAATAGACTTCTCTATAAGATAGCCCTCAACACATGGTCCTAGAACCCTCAAATGGATCTATCACAAGATACCTACCAGATAACAGACTGGTACTTATTCTACATCTGAATGTGGAACATGGCCAAGAGATCTATCCCTTTATGCAGGACTAGGAGAGAAATCAAACCTCCCACCCAATTGAGCTATTCCTTCTATTTTCCTTACTGAAAGCCCTACAGCATATTTTTAAATTATGTAGAAATAATTTTTTAAAATACACTTAGATAGGAGAAGTCTGCCAAAGTATATTCTTCAATTTTATGTGACACTTGGTATAATTTACATACAACATCTACAGATAGATAGCACAAGAGAACATGTAAAGGCAAACAGTCTAAACAGAAATATACACTAATGAAGCACATGCCAACACTTTAAAGATGTTTCATATTAAATATATTTGAGCACTTGCCCTTTCTGGCCCAAACACATGTGCATGTGAGGCGTATTAGAGATATACCAAGCATAAGTTACATATGACCACCAGCAAAGAACAGATGTAAGACAGACACAGAAACAGTGGCCCACAAAGAGAGATCATAATTAGCTATACAGCATACGTTACCAACAGAGCACAAAGTCACACACAGAGGTAACAGATCCTGAGTACAGCTGCCCTCACACCTTGAAAGCTACCCCACTGCAAGCTCCCGCCCACAGACACCTACACCAGGAAGAAGTCATCAACAAGGACCTCCCACCTCTCATCCTGCTGGGCTTCACTGAGCCAAGGAGACACCCAGCTGAGTGCGCACCGGTAACAATCAGATAGCCTGGCTAAAAATAGCCACTCTGGGGCTAAGAACTGGCTCCCCTTCTCCCGCCCTCCTCTCTCCTTCCTTCCAAGCCAGGCACGCAAGCTCGCTGCACCTCCATGCAAACTCCTGGCGCTGCCAAACCGCCCACGCCTGATGTTTGCACGCCCTGCTGCCACCCACACAGCCTGGGCGCTCTTGCTGGCAGAGAGGTGTAGCTGGAGTGACGTCTTGGTGGGGGAAGGAGAAGAGCGATGGGTGACATCTGTACTGCAGGGTCTAGAAAGGCTGGCAGGAACCGCCTGGTAGCCATTTGGCACTCCCCTAGAGCTGATGCCAGCAACCCCCTGAGCTCTTGCTGCCTAACAGGTTTGTGCCTGCACAGCCTCCAGATTCCAACTAGTACCGCTCCCTCCTATCCCTGCAGACAGTCCCACCAGGCATTTCTCTAGCATGCCTCCGATTTCAGAATCCTGGACAGAAAAATACTTTGTATGTAATCGAAGTCCATACATAGCTACTATGCACAAGCATATGCACACAGCTACACACAGATCCACTCCCTTTGCCATTCAGAGGTCTATCCCGCTATGGCTGCCCCCCCTCTCCTGACTCCAACACATTCAGGCTATCGGTCACTCTTCAAGTCAGTGACTCTCGTCTCCTTAACACTTACCTCTTCCTCCTAAGGATCAGCATTCATGCTCATCTCCCTCTCCCCCAAGGTCCCCACCTACACAGTCTTTGCACATACATACAAGTACCCTGCCCTGAGCTCGTCACCAGCAACACACCCACTCCACTGGCTGAAGGAAACACCTTAGTGCCTCAGGGGCCTGGGCACCCAGGACCCAACTGCAACCCAAGAACTGCCTGACAGGAGAAAGGTGGCGGGGGGTGCTTAGGACTAGCTTCCTAAAGGGGTTTTCCTTCTGTCCTTACCTTCTCTCCCAGCACCCTTCTTTTCATCCCACCACCATGGGAACTTAGGAACTAATAGGGATATTCGACCATTCCAGGAAGTCTCCGACCTCCTAGCACTATACTAAGGCAAACACCGAAGCCTCTGAGGTAAAGCAGGGCTCTTGCGACAGTGACTAGGTGCCACAGCTGGGTTATCCCAGCTGAACAATGATATGACAGGGAGCAGGGTCTCGATGACCAGAAGGGGAAGTTGGTAAAGAAGTGTTACTCTCCTACTAAAGATCCCTAGAAAAGCTCATCTAAAGAACACAGAAGCCTTGAGTGGATATTTTATTTTGAAACTCACCCAACAGTGGACAAGAGCATGAGAGTAGACTTAGAGTGGTGAGAGCCCTTACAGAACCCATTTGGCACATGCCAATCACTGTGACTTCTGGAGAGGAAAGCACGCCCAGCCTTTTGCTAGTTGTCCTATGCCCTTCCGTATCCTTACCCCGGCCCTAGGTTAGGACACCGAGGTTAAATTTAAGCTTTCCCCAGCACCCTCCCAGTCAGCCCTCCAGATACCGCCCTAACACTCAGAATATATTCCAGTCTTACCAGCTACAAGAAGCTTGCAGCAAAAGATCCTTCTGATCTTTCAGAACCATTCTCCTTCAACCCATCCCACTTCCTCACTCCTGTCACTTCCCCATTCTCGAAGGGCAGCCCAGTGTGAAAAAGCTCAAAGACTCAGGTTCCTCTGTTCCACTCCCAACCTTGACGCTGACTCACTAAATGTCCCTAACCACCCCTTGCTCCCTGAAGTTTTGATGCCTCAGTTTCCCCTGTCAATAAAAGGGATGAAGTCATAAACACTGCCAAAGCTTCATCCCTGGAGGGAAGTGAATGAAGCCTAATGAGCTCGTGGCTGCCACAAATTCCACGCTCCCCAAAATAATGGCATGAGGCTAATGCTCAGAGCTATTATTAGAAAGGCAAACAAGAGGTACTTCCATTTCTCAGTCCAACCAACCTAGTTACCCAGACCTCTCTCTCCAGGTGGGCCTTGTGCCACTGGGCTTGGGCAGAACCTGAGTCAGGCCACATTCTTCTCTGCACGCTGGAAGACTGAAAGGAAATACCCACAGAAACTGGGAAAGGCAGCCAAAGGGCAGGCTCCATCACATCCACAGGACGTCTAATGAAGACTACAGTACTGAGAGAAAAGCAGAGAAATACAGAAAGACATTCTGTTGGAGTAGAAGACTGACTCCGGATAAGATGTGTGAGATCCAAAATTACAGGCACAGGTCTCTTCCCATTTTATCTGCAAGGCCAGTAATTGTTCTCTGTATGGTGCCAAGGTCAGGTATTAAAGAGTGATAACTTCCTGCTTTATACATAATGCCAAGCCTAACTGAGCAATATTACCAATGATCAGTCAGGCTGCCTGTTTCAGTCGTGGCTCCACTACCTACTGGCTGTGCAACCTCAGGCAAATTGCTTAACCTCTGTGTGTTGCAGTTTTTTCACCTGTAAACTAGAGACGATACCTGCACCTACATCGGGTTGTGGTGAGAGTACCTTAAGTTAATATCCTTAAAGCACTTAGTAAGTGTAACTATTATTATTTTTGAATGGGGGAAAAGAATATTAGAAATTAAAAACTAGAAAACTGACAGATTATAGAGGTAAAACTGGAAGCAGAAAGCATGTGATGGTTTCTATTGCAAAGCCTGCACTGACTCTGAAATATTTTCAGGATGTCAGAATCTCAAGCTTTTCCCTTGGGGACAGTATCACTCCAGTGCCGAGTGGTGCCAGGACCAAGTAAACTCCAAGGATGAAGAAATGGAGGCATAGCATCTCTGATTTTTCAGAGGGCACTAGGTCTCGTCGTAAGACATGATCGGGAAAGTAGCATTCTCTAAACCAGTTAATTCAGCCCCATAGCCATGTATGCACTTCTGATACCACAGAGGCAAGGAGAACCAGGGAAACGCAGAGCAAGCAGAGCCAGTGAAGCTGCAGGGCGGTGGTACACCTAGAGGTGCTGTGATGCTGTTCACTCTGAGCCATCAACAAGTTGCATCCCAGCCGCTGGTAGGGTACTTTGTAGCAAACAGGCTGCTGTTTACACCACAGCTGTCCCTGCTCCAAAAGTGAAGAAGGGAGTTTTAGCCTTAAGAGTCAAAGGTTCTCATGCCTTTGAGACCAGAGATACCAGAAATGAAGCTGTCTTGTTAATAAGTCCTAGAAGAAGCCTGAGTCTGGGCTGTCCTGCTGCTTGGGATGCCTCTCATGCAACCATTCATAAGGACTCCCACTGGCCAGGGGCGTCCAAGCCTTTCCTCCAGCCTGGGCATCCTTACCAGGACCCTCCCCACGTCCCTGCACAGGAGCATCTTCTTTTAGAGGCCTACCAGAAACATAGGATTCTAGGCAATTGAAAGCTTGGTCTGAAAAGCACACATGTACCTGGCCCCAAAAACACACCCACTCGAAACACAGACATAGAGCCACACTCCCCGGAATTAAGGAACACATGCACATCATTCTAAAGCACTGCCACACAAACCTGGATTACGGCCGTCTCCTATGCTCCTATACCACTGCTAACAAAGAGCTTCCAGGATCAAGTGGTTGTACTTAGGGACTTAGGCAGCCCATCAATGGACCAAAGAGAGAAGGAAGAAACATAAAAGCCCAAAGAGATAAAGCTCCCACTTGACCTTGCTGTGGAGCATAAAACCCCTTACAGAAGATATTTCCTAAAGGCAAGGCAGGAAGGCAGGCTCCCCGTTAGTGATCCCAGGTTGAAAGGCAGAACTCTACAAAACACCAGCCAGAACTCAGCTAGAAGGATTTCCTGGCACCTTTTTCTTACATTTTCTAAAGATTCTGGACTTTGATGATCCCTACTCCTATCTTACAAAGGAAAACTTAAATGCTAGGTTCCAGAGACCCAAAACTGAACAAGAAACAGTAAGGGAGAAGGTGAGACTATTGGGTGCTTTCAGGAAAGGGAATCCCTCAAAGGTCACATCTCTCTTGTGGCCAACTTACTCAAGTGAAAGACTGGAAAGAGGTTAAGCAGAAAACTCCTCTATTCCTATGCAGGATCTGATTTTTCCTGAGGAACTGTGAGCAAAGGACAAGAGTTGGACAGGGGACTGGGGAAGTGGTACAAGGTCAGCCTTAGGGAACAACTTCAACCCAGGAGCTGGCATGCTCCTGTGCCCTTTCTTCTTGTGTCAGGACATGTAGAGTTCCCGTTCCCCCTTTGGATTTTATTGGCAGGGGCACGCCTCCAGCCAGGCATGAGAATATCACTACAGGAGAACTCTTGATGTCAGAGCTACAAGGAGTGGGGAGAGACTGCTTTTCTCTCAAGGGAGCAATAATCACTGTGGTGGAAGAGAGCAGTCCTGGTGGACATAAAGCTGACCGAGGGTTACAGGTAAGAAAATGTAATATCAATGAAAGCCACAAACCAGGCTAGGCCACGAAATATCACCATGACTTTAGTGAGGGCCCACTCTGCAGGTGAGAAGGCCCAGGGTCCAGGTGACACAGCCCAAGGATGCAGGGCGGTGTGGGAGTCTGGTTGGGATGTGTCGATCATTGTTACACAGTATGGATGGATTCCGAAAAAGCAGGCGTTTTCTGATATCCCTTCGCTGTCAGTATGGAAGCACACACCGCCCCAGGAACCTCAGATGAATCTCACCCTTTAGACCCCAAACACTAAGCAACCCACTTCTCAGAGTCTCAGAGTGAATGCAGGAGCTCCTTCAGAACACGCTTCTCCAGGGACTCTCCGAGTTATCACTCCACCTTCCTCAGTAAGGAAACCCAAGAGCCACCATCTCAGACCCCTACACCCACTAGTGCCTAAGGATGCCAGAGAGAAGATGAAAGAATGCACTAACCTGTCTCCGAGGTTCCCCCAGCAAAGGGAGGGAAACGCCTGGTACTGGAGTTTGGGGTTGGAGGGTTCCCCCTCTTCAAAGGCAGATGAAGAGTCTCATACTCAGTGGCTCTTCCTGTACTTGGCCGAGCCTTCCAAGCTGGAGAGGGGATCTGGGTCCCCTGAGGATGAGGGGCGGAGGGAGAAGGAGGAGGGGGAGGAGAAGGAGGCGGGGGAGGAGGAGAAGGAGGTCCCACCTGGGGCAGGTGGCACACCCCCCACACCCTGCCAGTGACGCCGGGGAGGAGGGGAGGAGCCTCTCCCAACCAGGAGTTGTCTCCTCCCCCTTGGGGGAGTCCCCCTCCCCCCCAAACTGGATCTTTCGGGAGTGGAGGGCTCCTTCGGTCTGCTAGAGATCTGAGCGGAGGGGCTCTGCCCTGTTCCACTGTCTAGGTACAAGGAAGTTGAGGGGGAGTCCTTCCCCTCTCCCGAAAGGCTGAAAGCCGATTCCTCTTCTTTCCCTGGAGTGTCCCCTGCTTCTGTGAGTACTGGAGAGGATGCAGGGCGCCTATTCCACAGGCTTGCCCCCTTTCTCTTTGCCTCAAAAGTCCCGAAGTGCTGAGAGTGTGTTTGGAGGGGTGGAGGCACGCGGGGCGGTCTCACTCCGCTTCCTTAGAAAGGATCGTCCCCCTTTTACTTCTGGAGGTCTATTCCCAGGCCAGTATGGGGATTTTCCTCGCCTCCAGGAAGGAGAGACTTGTCCCCTATAGGGATCTCTTCTTTCCCTCACCCGGATGGTAAGGGTCTTCTCTTCCACAAGGAGAGAGGTGGCTCCCGTCCCCGCGCCCGCCTCCGCTCCTGGGGTGCCCCAGAGGGTGGGGTTTTCGTACTCCCCGCGCTCCCCGGCCGGCCTGGGCAGCAGGGTCCCGGAGGCCGCGGCTCCGCACCCCCGTCACTGGCTACTGTGGCGGCAGCGCCTCCTCTAGCCCCGTCCCGTCCGGTCCGCTCACTTCGCGCGTGGGGCTCCCCGCGCTGCCACCTCTTGGGCTCCGGCCAGTCTGGGCTCCTGGGGAGCCAGAAGGCGGACGGACAGTGTCAGGGCTCGGCTCGGGCTCGGGCTCGGCTCGGCTCCGCTGCAGGCCCCGGCTCCTCCCCGGCCTCCGCGCCGCACTCCGAGCCCCTCCCCCTCCCCCGCCCGCCCGGCCGCTGCCGCCACCGCCTCCCTGCGCGGGTTAAGGAGGAGCGGGCTGCGCCCAGCCGCGGGCCCGCGCCGCCGGGAGGCGCTGCGCCTGGGGAGCGGCGTCGCTGCGATCCCGCTCCCTGGTGTGCCGCCACTGGCCACGGGTCCCCGGGACTAGCGCCACCCCTCAAGCCTCTCCAGCCGCCACCTGGACACGTCGCTCCGCACATCTTGCCATGCACCCAAGGTGACAACCCTCCTGCCCGGTACCTGGAGAATCCCTCGTTCGCACTACACACGAACTGTCAATTCCAATTTGATGCTAATTTTGGTACGCTGACCTTTTTGCATTCTGTTGATTCTATGAGCAGAATAACATCTCCTTTTTTTCTTTTTTCTTTTTTAAGGAATGTCTTTGATGGGCTTCTCTTTCTCCTGAGATAGTTTATAAAGAGTTGTGGGGATTACGGTGAAGTTAATACGTTACCCTGATATCATCTTGGAGTTCAGTAAATGCTTGTTGAAAAAAAAAAATGAGTGTATAAAAAGAGATAAATGAACCCTGGCTGGTGTGGCTCAGTGAATCCTGAGAACCAAAGGGTCACCGGTTCAATTCCCGATGTAGGGCACGTGCCTGGGTTGCAGGCCAGGTTCCCAACAGGGGGCATGCGTGATGCACCCACACATTGATGATTCTCTCCCTTTCTTTCTCCCTCCTTTCCCCTCTCTAAAAATAAATAAATAAATCTTTTTTTTTTTAAAGAGGGGGGTAAATGAGCATGTAATTGAGAAAACTCTGAACTAAACATGAGAAAGTCTAGCTTTATAAGTTTATGCAAGGCCCTTCCTCTATGGAATCTTAGTCACCAAAGACAGGTCCTTGCCTCCCCAATAAGGGTATTTTAAAGATCAAATGATATAATGTATGTGGAAATGCTTTTTAAATTGTACAGTATACAAAATATGACTCCTGTTCAGTTCCCTTGAAAGTCCTGTAATATATCTTACTGATCACAGAATGTAGAATGTTCTCATTCTCTGCCACCTACAGAATAATCCCCACCCAAAGATAGAAAATGCCACCAGGTACTCTACCTCCACTTTTCCTCCTGGAGTCATATTATTTCTCTATAGATTCTTATATATTTCATCTTCTAGGTCATTAAACTTTTCTAAATGTATTCTTTCTATCACATAAAATAATATGAAAGCAAAATATCCATGAATTATTGAATTGCTCAGAAAAAGACTACATACTCAAGATTACAGCTTGATGACTACATTTCACGTTTACATACTAGTCTTTTGTCCTCTCACTAAATATATGACACTATATTTTATTTAAATCGTACCTACATAAAATTACATATATACAATGTGCCAGGCATTGAGCTTAGCAGTCTACATGTGTTATCACATTTAATTCTCCTAGAAGCCCCATAAGGTACTGCTGTTATACCTATTTTACTGATGAGAAAACTATGACTAAGAAATGTTGACTGTGCCTCTACTTCCGGCCAAGATGGAGGCATAGTAGATATGCTTTGCTTGCTTGCACAACAAAAGATGGGCAACAACCAATTTAAAAACAAAAGACAACCAAAACTGCCAGAAAATCGAACTGTATGGAAGTCCAACAACTGAAGAGTTAAAGAAGAAACATTCATCCAGACTGGTGCACTGAGGCAAAGAAATATGGTCCAAATGACCCTGGCTTGGTGTGGTTCAGCTGACTGAGCACTGGCCTGTAAACCAAAGGGCTGCCAGCTTGACTCTCAATCAGGGCACATTGCCTGGGTTGCAGGCCAGGTCCCCAGTGCAGTCACATGAAAGGCAACCACACATTTGATATTTCTTGCCTTCTCTTTCTCCCTCCTTTCTCCTTTGTGTAAAATAAATAAATAAAATTTTTAAAAAAGAAAGAAATACGGCCCCAATGAAAGAAATTATCAAAACTCCAGAAGATGAAATAAGTGTTGAGGAGCTAGCCAACCTATCAAATGCAGAGTTCAAAACACTGGTAATCAGGATGCTCATAGAAATGCAAAATAAAGGAAGAAGTGAAGGCTATTCAAACTGAAATGAAGAAAAATATACAGGGAACCAACAGTGAAGGGAAGAAAACCAGGACTCAAATCAACAATTTGTAACAGAGGGAAGAAATAAACATTCAACCAGAACAGATGGAAGAAGGGAGAATTCAAAAAAGTGAGGCTCAGGAACCTCTGGGACAACTTTAAGCATTCCAACATCCAAATCACAGGGGTGCCAGAAGAGTAAGAGCAAGAAATGGAAAACTTATTTGAAAAAATAATGAAGGAAACTTCCCCAGTCTGGCCAAGGAAATAGATAGGCAAGCCCAGGAAGCTTAGAGAATCCCAAAGAAGTTGGATTCAAGGAGGAACACACCAAGATACATCATAATTAAATTGCCCAAGATTAAAGATAAAGAGAGAATCTTTTAAAAAATATATATTTATTGACTTATTTTTAGACAGGGGAAGGGAGGGAGGAAGAAACATCAGTGTGTGGTTGCCTCCCACGCGCCCCCTACTGGGAGCCTGGCGCAACCCAGGCATGTACCCTGACTGGGAATCAAACCAGTGACCCTTTGGTTTGCAGGCTCTCACTCAATCCACTGAGCCACACCAGCCAGGGCTGTAAAGAGAAAATCTTAAAAGCAGAAAAACAAAAGGAGACAGTTACCTACAAGGAGTTCCCATAAGACTGTCAGCCGATTTCTCACAAGAAACTTTATAGGCAAGAAGGGGCTGGAAAGAAATATTTGAAGTCATGAAAGACAAGGACCTACAACCTAGGTTACTCTATCCAGTGAAGCTATCATTTAGAATGGAAAAGCAGATAGAGTGCTTCCCAGATAAGGTAAAGGTAAAGGAGTTCATCATCACCAAGCCCTTATTATATGAAATGTTAAAGGGATTTATCTAAGAAAAAGATCAAAACTATGAACAATAAAATGACAATAAACTCACAACTATCAACAACTGAACTTAAAAAAACAAAAACAAACTAAGCAAACAACTAGAACAGGAATAGAATCACAGAAATGGAGATCACATAGAGGGTTATCTGCAGGGAAGGCGTGTGGGGAGAAGAGGGGAAAAGGTACAGGGAATAGGAAGCATAGTTGGTAGGTACAAAATAGACAAGGGGAGGTTAAGAATACTTTAGGAAATGGAGAAGCCAAAACTTACATATATGACCCATGGACATGAACTAAGGGGGGGTGGGATGCTGGAGGGAGAGGGGTGCAGGGCAGAGGGGGATAAAGGGGAGAAAAAAAATGGGACAAGTGTAGTAGCATAATCAATAAAATATACTTTAAAAAAGAAATAAATATTGACTGTACCTATGTCTAAGTTTATATGATTAGTAAGAAGCAAAGTCAGGACTTAAATTTACAATTCCAAATAACTTTAAAGACCAGGCTTGTACTTTCTATTCCATTGTTAAGAGCCATCAGCATTAAAAATCATCCTGAAACTTAAATGAAATGAGGACCTGTGGAGACTTTTCTTTCTTCCCACCCTTCCAATATCCAGGTATCCTGCCACCCCTTTGAATTTCGCCACACGCAGATAATTTGGCATCGACTGTTTTTTGCTCCCTGTTAGATGTTTTATTATGTTTCTTTTTTCAACCCTTTTTGACATTTTCTATGTATGTGTCTGGAATTTGGGGAGCAGAGGTAAAGAGATAAAGTACTAAAAATGGAAAAACTAGGGAAGGATTAGATTCTTTATCTGGAAATATAGAAAAATTAAAAGCTCAAGAAATTATTTGATATATATAAGATATTTGCTGCAGCATTATTTGTAACTGATGAATTATAAACAACTTAAATATTCATAATAGCATAACTGTTAAACTATAGTACATCTACATAATAGACTATTACTTAGCTTTTAGAAGAGTAGTAATTGTATTTAACTCTGAAGAGTTGTCTTTTTATATCTTCTTTACCATTTAGATATTTTACGATGGGCATATATTATTTTAAAGAACCAATTTTTTAATACATGCAAATATATTCCAATGAGAAAATCACTTTTAAAAATTTGTATAACATGATCATATATAGTTACTTCTTAAAATATGTACATGTATATGTATATATTTATGTATACACATAAACACAGACAGATATACACCAAAGACATGAGCTTAAAGATTATTTTAATTTACCTCATTTCTACTATTTTATAATTAGCATTTGTATGCTTTATGCTTATATAATTTTAAAGTTAAAAAAACTGATAAACCTGGTTTGGTTTTGTTTTTGTCCCAAGGTAGGAGAAACACTTGGCTTTCATTTTCTCTTTACCTACTATTAAGAAGGGTGATATGAAGCAGAATAAAAATATAGGAATCAAAAGGGAAGGATCTACCCTTCTATAAAATAGAATGTATTATATAATTCTTCATGAGTGTTACTTGACCTTTAGTAAGGTGTTCCTTCATAATATTGGTGACTAATATGGCACAATACACGTTTTGGGAGCATTAAAGACTTGTGCATTATATGAAACCTGGTATAGAGGATAAGATTCATGTATTTAAATCCCAGCTTTAGCACTCAATAATGAGAACTTAAGTCATTGAACTGCTCTGTTATTCAGTATTTCATTAGTTAAATAGGCATAATAACAATTCACGCTTCATAGTATTGCGGAGGGACTGTGTGACTTCATGCATGTAATGCATTTAGATAAGTGCATAAGGAACGGGAAACCTAGAGGTTGAAGGAGGCTTAAAACATATCAACCAAGTGCAATATATATGGATCAAGAGACATGTACTCATCAAATAAAATATGTGGACATTTGGGGGAAACACTGATTTGGACAAATCAGCTGGAACAAATACAATGAAGTAGGTGAAATTTCAATTCTGACTGCGGTGATATCAAGGAATTATTGTTATATTTTAGATGTG